GTTATAAACCCCAGTTTGTATTTTTAATTATTTTTATTTAAACAGTTATATTTTAAAGAGATTTAAATGTTCAGAATAAAGCCTTATATGCTTACCATGTAGTTCCCATTTCTAGTATTCTTTCTTCCTGTATATAATCTGGTATCATGTTCCTTCTGCCTAAAGGACATTATTTAGCATTTCTTGGAGTGTGAGTGGACGTGTGATGAATTCCTTCAGCTTTTGTATGTACAAAAATGTCTTTATTTCTTCTTCATTTTTGAAAGATACTTCCTCTGGACATAGAATCCTAGATTATAGGTTTTTTTCTTCCAGTACTTTAAAGATGTTGCTCCACTGTCTTCTCATTTGCATTGTTTCCAACAAAAAATTTGCTGTCATGCTTAGGATTGTTCCTCTATATGTAATGTATGTTTTCCTCCATCTGCCTTTAAAATTTTCTTTTTTTCACTAGTTTTGAGCAATTTGGTCATGATGGGCTTTGGTGTAGTTTTTATGTTTATTGTGACTCAGGTGTTTTGAGCTTTTTGGATCTGTGTGTTTATAGCTTTACTGAAATTTGGAAAATTTTCTGCCATTATTTCTTAAAATAATTTTTCTGTCCTTCTATCTCTCTCCTCTCCAATTACTGATATATTAGGCTGCTTGAAGTTGTCCTGTGGCTCGCTGATGATCTGTTCATTTTTTTAATCTGTTCTTCCTGAGTTTCATTTTGGATAATCTCTATTACTTCACCTTCAAGTTTGCTAATGTTTTCTTCCAATATATCTAATATGCTGTTAATCCCATCCAGTGTATTTTTCATGTTATATATTATAGTTTTCATCTCTTGAAATTTTATTTGGGTCTTTATTATATCTTTCCTGTCTATACTTAACTTTTTGAACATCGGAAATGCAATTATAGACTTAATGTCCTTGTCTGCTAATTCTAACATCTGTGTCAATTCAGGGTCAGTTTTGATTATTTTCTACATTTTGGCTCATGTTTTCCTGCTTCTTTGTATGCTTGATAATTTTTATTAGATGTCAGGCCATATGAATTTTGCTTTGTTGGGTGATGGATATTTTTGTATTTCTATAAATATTCTTGAGCTTTGTTCTGATACACAGTTAAGACACTTGGAAACGGTTCAGTCCTTTTAGGTCTTGCTTTAGGATTTGTTACTTGAAACCAGACAAATGTTCAGTCTAGGACTAATTTTTCCCCCTTACTAAGGTGAGACCCTTCTTTGTACTCTACCCAATGTCCTGTGAATTAGGAGGTTTTTCAGTCTGGCTGGTAGAAACAGGCAATATTCCTGTCCTTCTGTGGGTGTTGAGCACCTTAGATCTTTCCCTGGCCTCAAGTAGTTTCCTCACTTGCATGTGCTAATTAAGACACAAGTGAATACTTGATGGGAACACTCTTCATTGCTTGCTCTCTTGCTCTCTCTCTCTCTCTCCAGCTCTCTTTTCTCCAGTACTCTGTGAATCTCCACCAGGGTTCTCCCTTCCTACAACATAGTCATAGGGCTCATCCATTTGTTTCCTGTCTCTCAAAGATCAGTCTTTGTGACCTGATGTCCAATGTTTTGAAATATTGTTTCATATATTTTATCTATGTTTTGGTTTTATTTTTTTTACTATACTTGCTTTTAGGCAATTTCATAGAGAATTGGACCCTCAAATTGGCAAGTACAGTGTTTTAACAGTCTAAACTGGTTGTTTTAGGCAGGAGTGCAAATCTGGTCACTTGTTACACAGTGTTGGCTGGAAGCAGAAGGCATGTCTTTTAATTTTGCCTAATTTTCTATTTTAAAAAAATTTAAAATTTTAAATGGAAAAATTCATCAGTCTTTACCTTAATGGCTTCTGTCTTTGGTGTCATGCTTAAACACTTCTATGTTTGAAGGCTTATAAAAATATTTACCTATACTTTTTCAAGAACTTTATCTTATTTTTACATTCAAATAGGTTATTAATGTGGAACCCCATATTACAGACAGTTTGGAAAGTAGCTAAAATGGAGGGAAGAACACCTGTAATTCCATCACCAAACACAATGCCAATATACGTATTAACATATTTCCTGCCATGTATTTTCTATGCCTTTGTTTTTTATATAGTTGTAATCCTAGTGTCTATGTCATTTAGTATATGCATCCAATGCATTATATCATCATTTTCCATGTTGCTACATAATCTTCATAATTGCATTTTAATGACTGAATTATATTTCATCAAATGATTATGTTGCACTTATATTACCTTTACCTATATTGTTAAACATTTTAGTTATTTCTTCTTAAACAGAGAATGTGAAACATAATTATCAAGCAGAGCATTTTTAGAGAACCTTAATTTTTCCTACTTGCACATTTCCCTGACTCTGTGAGGGCAGAGATGCAGATAAGACCCCTTTCTCAATGTGTCGTTGCTTTCCTCTCCAAGCCCACACCAATACATTCAGTAAGATCCTGTCTGTATAAAAATGGGAAGAAAATAAAAACATCAGTTTCTTAATAGTTCTTTTCATTTCTTACTACAGGCATACCTCAGAATTTTGTGGGTTCAGTTCTAGACCACCACAATAAAGTGAATATCACAAGAAAGTGAGTCACAGAACTTTTTTGGTTTCCCAATGTATATAAAAGTTATGTTTACGCTATACTGTAGTCTATTAAGTGTGAAACAGCATTATGTCTAAAAAAACAATGTTCATACCTTAATTTAAAAACACTTTATTGCTAAAAAAATGCTAACTATCATCTGAGCCTTCAGCAAGTCATAAACTTTTTGTTGTTGGAGGGTCTTGCCTTCGTGTTGATGGCTGCTAACTGATTAGGGTGGTGATTGCTGAAGGTTGGGGAGGCTGTGGCAATTTCTTAAAATAGGACAACAATGAAGTTTGCTTCATCAATTGACTCTTCCTTTCATGAATGATTTCTCTCTAGCATGTGATGCTGTTTGATAGCATTTTACACACAGTAGAACTTTTTTCAAAATAGGAGTAAAAATCCTCTCAAATCCTGCCGATGCTTTATCAACTAAGTTTATGTAATATTCTAAATCCTTTGGTGTCATTTCAACAGCCTTCACAGCATCTTTACCCAGAGTAAATTCTATCTCAAGAAACTACTTTCTTTGCTCATCCATAAGAAGCAACTCCTCATGTGTTAAAGTTTTATCATAGATTGCAGCAATTCAGTCACATCTTCAGGCTCCACTTCTTATTCTAGTTCTCTTGCTATTTCCACCACATCTGCAATTACTTCCTCCACTGAAGTCTTGAACCCCTCAAAGTCTTCCATGAGGATTGGATTCAACTTCTTCCAAATTCCTGTTAATGTTGATATTTTGACCCCTTCTCGTGAATCACAAATGTTCTTAATGGCATCTAGAATGGTGAATTGTTTCCAGAAGGTGTTCAGTAGACTCTGCCTAGATCCATCAGAGGAATCACTATCTATGACAGCTATATCCTTACAAAATGTATTTCTTAAATCATATGACTTAGAAGTCAAAATTGCTCCTTGATCCATGGGCTGCAGGATGGATGTTGCGTTAGCAGACATGAAAACAACATTAATCTTGTACATCTCCTTCAGAGCTCTGGGGTGACCGGGTGCATTGACAATGAGCAACAATATTTTGAAAAGAATCTTTTTTCCTGAACAAGTCTTAAGAGTGGGCTTAAAATATTCAGTAAACCATGTTGTAAACAGATGTGCTACCATCCATTTATTCCATTTATAGAGCACAGGTAGAGTAGATATAGCATAATTCTTAAGGGCCCTAGGACTTGCAGAATGGTAAATGAGCATTGACTTCAACTGAAAGTGACCAGCTGCATTAGCTGCATTAGCCCCTCACAAGAAAGTTGTCCTGTCCTTTGAAGCTTTGAAGCCAGGCATTGACTTCTCCTCTCTAGCTATGCAAGTCCTAGGTGGCATCTTCTTCCAATAGAAGGCTGTTTCATCTACAGTAAAAATCTGTTGTTTAGTGTAGCCGCCTTCATTAATTATCTTAGATAGATCTTCCGGATAACTTGCTGCAGCTTCTGCATCAGCACTTGTGCTTCGCCTTGTACTTTTATGTTATGAAAATGGCTTCTTTCCTTAAACCTCATGAACCAAGCTCTACTAGCTTCAAACTTTTCTTCTGCAGTTTCCTCAGCTCTCTCAGCCTTCATAGAATTGAAGAGAGTTAGGGCCTTGCTCTGGGATAGGCTTTGACTTAAGGGAATGTTGTGGCTGGTTTGATCTTCTATCCAAACCACTAAAACTTTCTCCATATCAGCAATAAGGTTGTTTTGCTTTCTTATCATTTGTGTGTTCACTGGAGTTCACTTTTAATTTCCTTCAAGTACTTTTCCTTTGCATTCACAACTTGGCTAACTGGTGGAAGAGGCCTAGCTTTTGGCCTATCTCGGTTTTCAACATGCCTTACTCACTAAGCTTAATCATTTCTAACTTTTGATTCAAAGTGAGAGATGTGCAAGTCCTCCTTTCACTTAAATACTTAGAGGCCATTGTAGGGTTATTAATTGGCCTAATTTCAATATTGTTGGGTCCAAGGAGAGGGAGAGAGATGGGCGGACAGCTGGTTGGAAGAGCTGTCAGAACACACAGAGTTTATCGATTAAGTTCCCTTATATGGGTGTGGTTCATGGAGCTCCAAAACAATTACAATAGTAACATCAGAATCACTTATCACAGATCACCATAACAAATATAATAATAATGAAAAACTTTTGAAATATTTTGAGAATTACCGAAATGTGACACAGAGACTTGAAATGAGCAAATGCTGTTGGAAAAATGATGTCAATAAACTTGCTTGATGGAGGGTTGCCATAAAGCTTCAATTTGTAAAAAATGCAGTGTCTGCAAAGTGCAATAAAATGAGGTATAGTTATAAATAGAAAGACTTTAAAAAGCTTATAATTTATAATTTTAGTATGTATTAACATGGCACCTCAATTACTTTCTAATTATTCTTTGTGCTTGGTTCTTTTTAGGGAAGTTACTATTCAAGTCAAACACATCAGAATGCAGAATTCTTTATCAGTATCACCAAAAGATCAAGGTAAGATAAGCCATGCTGAGGAAAATGGTAATGTGTATGTTATAAATTGTTTTGTTACATTTTATGACCCTATCCTCTAACAATAAGGAGACTTGTTTCTTGGGACTAAGAACAAACATTCTAATTATATATGAAAGTTGATTTCATTTGGTAAATTACTTGAGTGTATATGGTTCCTGGGTTGTAAGGACATGTCTCCTTTGCTGAGAGCTCCTTGAGAGCAGGGCCGTTCATTCCACATAAAACTCACAGAGCCCAGCGTGTTATTTGGCAGTTAGCTGGCGCTAGTAGATCAAATGGAATTATGGAGTATTGGCTTTAGTGAAGCAGAATGACATGTGTGTTTTAGTGAGAAGAATATGTGTACATATATATATTCATGCACACGCACTATGCACACACAACACACCCTAGAGAGAGAAAGGATGTTTGCTTATATATTTATTTGACCTATTTCTTCTCATAGCCATTTAAAAAGAAACATAAGGAAAACCATTTCCCCCTGTACGATTTATAAAAAGAAAAGCATGATTTTTTAACAGGAGCTCCTGGAGTTTTCAGAAAAGCAGTTTGCAGATGGAGATAGGGTCCTTTCTGAATAAAAAATAATTAAATTTTCCTCACTGTAAAGAGTGAATTCTGTTTAGGAGGAATTCAAGTCTTTTCCTTGCTCCTACATATTCTCTTCCACACAGAAGGAAGTTTTGATATGTATGTGAGAAAAATGATGTCTTTAATGATATAAAATTGGGCTGCCTTAGTGGAGGATGTAACTTTTAGTGGATGGAGGGAATTGCTATAAGAACCCTTAACTGGAGCAAACACTCTTTGATCTCTTTACCAAAAAGAAACGTAGGGTTATAACTGTTAAGAACATGGAATCTGGGTTGGAAACTCAGTTCTACCACTGAATTGCATAACCTTAGGTACGTCACTTGACATCAGCTTTCTCATCTATAAATCTATAAAATAATAAAGATAGTAAGTCCTACCCTATAGGTTACATGGAGATTAAAGGAGATAATATATGTAAATCACCCAGCATTGCTAATTGCATAGTAGGCATTTATGAGATGATAGTGGCTATTGCTCTTAATGGTTGTATTTAGTATCTGGTCTCTCTCCATCTGTGAAGGTGGTGCAATAAGATGGGCATGGCCCCCTCCTGCTTGGGATACCTACTGATCCTAGAAGGCCAGGCATGATCCAGAGGGACCCATGGGAAGTAAACGCTGATCAGACTCCTTGGCTTGATTCTCATCCAGACATTTGGCCAAAGGGGAGAGTAGGAGTCCTTGAGATTTGCACAAGATTCAGCCCCAAACACTAGGGCAAGAAAGGAGATGGGAATGAAAGGGAGAAGAGCAAACCCTAATTAGAAGTAAAAAGTGTACATTTCCTGTTAGTGTTTTCTGGTATATATCCTTTGGAAGATTTGTACAGTAGCTAGCTGATTGAGAGTTTGGAAATTCAGTGTCCTAGCTGGTATCACCTTGTTCATCTGAGCAAGCAAGGAGAGGCATGACTGCTTAGAAGAAAGACTGTTGGACTGAAGGTCAGGAAAGCTGGGCTTGCATCCCAGATCTGCCTCCAACCAGCTATGGAACCTCAGACAAGTTATTTTGCCCCTACGCCTCGGTTTCCCTAATAGTAAAGCCAGGATTACTGGACATTCTTTTCCAGCTCTAAAAGGTTACGAGTCTGTGGAGTAACTGAGCAGTGAGCCGCCTGGTTTCTGGCTGATACAGGGAAGTGAAGCATGTCTCACACTTCTTGCCTACTTTGCTTCTCACCAAGGTTTACTTTGTTTTTGTGTCTACTTTTCTGGGCTGTTGCATAAGCCTAGCTACCTCCCTTGACTTGGCCAGAAAATAAGATGCCTTCAAGCCTAGCTAAAAATTTGATAGCTCTGGTAAATTTCTCATTGGTCTTTTCTGGGACCAAAGATGCTTAAGCCCCAAACCTGGAATTGGACAGAGAAAGAGATGTAATAGCTAAAAGAGCTCAATCAAGCGCTCCATGGTAATAGTCACTCCACCTACCACTTTGAATCCTTTGTTTTATTTAATCCTCACAATAAGTTAGATATCATCTTTATTTTAAAGGTTCAGGGAGATTAGGTACTTTTACCAAGATCCCAGCCCGTTAAGTGACTGAGCCAAGATTGGAACCCACATCTAACAAAATCCAAAATTCACTGTTTGTCCCGTGTCATACTGTAAATTTATAAAGAATGTTTTTAATCTATTTTTAGATCATTTCCCTTTTTCTTCTCTGATCAAACTTATTAAGCTTAATTACATATATGAATGATTAAAGCTATTTTAAACCAAAGTAGGCAGAAATTAGATTTGTATCATAGGAAATTAGATCAGTAAGGAAAAATAGCATAGTACATATGAGGCCTAAGACTTGCCCAATTTTTTATTAATTTACTCATTTACCCATTCAAATGCTTTGTGTGTGTCCTGGATTACTACTAATATTTTTTAACAAAGAAGAATACTACATTTATTGATTGTGATTCTGTTTATATTTTTGTCATCAAATATAGTCATTTATGAGAAGTTTGCTGGGCACATGCCATTTGTTAATTAAATGGTGAGTGATTTAATAAAAATGGTGAGTGATTAATAAAATATTGATGGCTATCTATAAATTATGGTACTTTTGAATTTCAGGCTTGTGAACACACACACACATGTTATACACATTTTTGTATGAAATTCAGGTAGAACATCACCAGCAGAGTTGTGGGGCTTAAGGAAAATCTACTGCATAACATACGCTCTCCTAACAAAATTTCCTATGGTAGAAGCAGATTTAATGATCACCAAGGTAATACTTACCAGGAACTGTGTCAGATGCTATGAATGATCCAAAAATAAATCAGACAGAGCTTGTGCTTTTACGAAACACAAAGTCCTATTAGAACAGCAGGCATGTATGTAATTAACTAGGATAAAGCATGACAAATTCTGTACTAGAATTGAGTATGACGTACTTTGAGAACCCGGATGAAGGGACAATCGGTTAAGCCAGAAGTGTTGAGGCTAGTCAGGAAACACAACAGAGAGGAGATGACATTTGCTCAGCATGTTAACACATGTGTAGAACTCAAAGATGTGGTTTAAAGCGAGGAAAGAACTAGAGGAAACTAATTAGAAATTCTAGTGCCTTCTATTTAAATGTTTTCTAATTTTGGATGAAGAGATTTAACATTATAATATCACTCTGATAATTTGTATATATTAAAAGCTTTTCATTATAATTTAGTGTTGTCATTATTCCTTTCTGTGTGAAAGTGTTACTTATAGAATCTCCAGAAGTTCGTTAGACTTATTTTGTTACAATTTTATATCTTCTTATGCATCAGGATTTGGGGATAGGATTTATGGTTTTCCCATAACTTTCTTTTTTTTGTTTGTTATTTTCCAAATGATAAGCTAATAGAAATATAAGAACAGATATTTTGTGTTGGAAAATAGCAAATTGTTGTAGCAAGTGATATACCATGTTTTTGAAAAAAAGGCGTGAAAACAACACGATAAGGTCAACTACAGTTGTTGTAACTTCCACTTTAAATTTGTTGAAGGAAAGACAAAACCAGCACAGTGATTGAAAATGCAAATGAATTTATTTACTTGCCAGATAAGGAAACACACAAGTGAGTAGTTTTGCCAAATTGTTCTATGACAGGGACAATTTATGCGTTTTTTTGTGCTAGAAAGAAGTTCACTGTGGTTAATGCCAATTAAGGATTGAAGTTCACACCTTGGAAAGGGAAGGATGAATTTTAAGTCCTCACACAGTTGGTTAAAACAAGTCCCATTGTTCATTGGTCAAGAAAGAGTCTTCATTTAAATCCAGGGAGGGCATGTTTTACTGGAGTCATTCAAAATTCTTGAGTCATTTGCCAGCTTCACAATTCAGTTTTGCCATTTCTTAGGCGAGTCTGCTGCAAGTAGAAAGGTCTTCTTATACAGGTCTTCTAACACTTTTCTCAGCTGTCATAACATTTGTATTGTTTAAACATAGTTTTCAAATTGTCAGTGCTATTTCTATTCAATGAGAGTAATAATAAATGGGGATGAGAAGACAGCAGATGCTTTGAGGCAAGACACGGTGGGTCTTAATGACCCCCTTTGGAACTGTGGCAGTCAGTAAACATGCACTGTACAACTGCTACTAATTTTCAAAACCTGTACATTATTTATGTGTGAAGCCAATAGCCATTACTGTCTATCATGTGAATTCAGAGTTGAATCTGTAAAAAAAAAAAAAACCTGGATTTTCTGATTCAATAAAGTGCTTTTAAAATAACTATGGCACAGCCTAAAAACATATTATTTCTTATAGACATAAAAATATATACTTACATCTTTCAGACATAAACATTTTGGTATTAGTGAATATAGCATTTTAGAACTCAAGTAAAGAACACTTGGGGTTTCTAGTTAATATATTTTTTTAAAGTTTAGAAAAATGATCTTACTTGTTTAGACTCCTAGTATTAGTTAGGTTCTTTATAAACTTCTTGATGAATTTTCTGTCTTTGGCAGGCTTTAAAGAACCCTGGCATGTAGTGGGTTCTCAAATACATATTAAATTTTTTTGAAAATACTTTAAACTCTCAAATATTTTTTTAAAAAAGCATATTACTTAGATGCTGTAAAACATTTTAATCTTTGTTTTTTAATGAAACACCAAGCTGGAGTTCTCAGGTATATCTGTTCATTTAACAAATATTTATTGTCTTTCGAGAGGCAATGAGCAAGGAGCAAAGGGGAAAAAAGGAAAACCAAACTAAGCCTGCTCTCCTGCAGCTCAGTTTGAATTAATAAAACTGGGCTGCCAGTTTACTTTTTATGAGGATTTAACCTAAAAATGGTTTCTTACCTTGTTACTGAATTATAGTTTCACTGTTTCAAATGTGGTATTCAAGCTGTTTCTTAAGTTCATTTCCTATTTTTTCTTCCCGTCCTCTCCCTTCTCATCCT